GCCCACCTCGGCAGGGAGGGACAGGAACACTCTGGGATTCCTGGAGTGAGGTCTGGGGGGAATTTTAGCCCGGATTAATGGCCTTACCCAGGCCCAGGGAAGATGGGGGTGCTGTTCCTGGGTGCTGGGAGGAGCAGGATGCTGGGGGAGCTCCTTCCCCACAGCAGGCTGGGTTGTGCCAGGAGCCTGAGCTGGGCCAGGGTGGGCAGGTGGCTGTGGTATGGGCAGAGCTGTCAAATTCAGCTGCACAATCACATTTTATGTTATGTTATTTTATTTTATGTTATTTTATTTCTTTTATTATCTCCACACAGGCAACTGAGGGTGGGAGGGAGCTCAGCAGGGAGCTCGGTCACCATTGCCAACCCAGTTCTTCAGCCTTGTCTTCAGCAGGGACAACTGTCACCTTCCCTCCCAGCACCCTCCCAGCTCCCAGCACCCTTGGATGAGGGGCAGGTGAAGAGCAGGGTGCTCAGGCCCACCCTGGGGTGAGAAGGAGGTGCCTTCTCCAGGGGCTGTGAGAGCTCAGCTGCACCTCTCAAGATCCTTCCTGCACCTCAGGGACACCTCAGGCTGCTCCAGTGCTGCAGGACCAGCACCTTTTTGTCTCCCAGGGATTCCCACATCTTGTTTTTTCCCTCCTGGCTGCACCTTCCCCCTGGGCTGGGGGAGTCCCTTGGCCTGACAAAGGCACGTTTTTGAGTCCGAGCTTGAAAGGTGAGAGGCAAACCCGAGATCCTACGTGGGCTCTCACCCTGGTGAGATGCAGACTCCATGAGCAGGACAAGCCAGGAGCCAGGATCTGACTCTCCCAGTTCCCAGGAGGTGGAAAACATCCCAGAGGAGCCACCTGGAATAACTGAGCTCCTCCTTTGCCAGAACCAGCGGCTTCCTCTCAGCTTCCTGAGGGTGCCACGAGGTCTGGATTGCACCCAGATGGAAGCACTGCTAGGGCTGACGAGTCCCAGACACAACTGGCTTAGGCAAAACCAACAGCCAACGTCCCCAAAAGCTGCAGAACTGAAGGCTGAGCCCTCAGAGCTCCACGGATTCATTCCATGGAATATTCCGAGCTGGGAGGGACCCACAGGGTTCAGTGGTCACAGATTCTTTTTCACAGAATATTCTGAGCTGGGAGGGACCCACAGGGTTCAGTGGTCACAGATTCTTTTTCACAGAATATTCTGAGCTGGGAGGGACCCACGAGGTCCATCAGGGGCTGTCCCACCAGCCTCGTGCTGCTGGTGGCAAATCAACCACGACTTTGGAATTAATGACCCCTCTGGGGACGGGCCAGGCTGAGCCAAAGGCAGGTCTGGAGCTGAAAGGCAGCTCTGTGCAGGGCCAGGGGGAAGGGGGGGTGTTCTGGCAGAGGACAGCACCAGGGGACGTGTGCTGGCTGCAGCACGGCCTGGAATGCTGAGCAGAGAGGAGATTCCAAAGGTATTGGCAAGGAAAACACCTCCAAAGCTTTGCCCCCCTGGCACAGGGGTGGGGGGCAGGATGCAGAGCAGGGCAGCTCTGACAGCACCCCCTGCCTGGCAGGGTCCCCACGGGGCAGGGACCCTTGGGACTGGGCATGGGGGGATGCCCTGGGCAGCTGTGCCAGGGCTGGATAACCCTTCCAGGGAAGAAATTCTCCCTAATACCCAACCTAAAGCTCTCCTGGTGCCCCTTGAGGCCATTTCCTGGTCCTGTCCCTTGTCCCATCCCCAGCTGGGTGGCCCTGCTCTCTCCCCAGCCCTCTCAAGGTTCCTGATTGCACTTGTGCCTCACCAGGAGCTTCATCCAAAGCAACAGTCCCACTATTTCTGGGAGCACCTTTGGGATCCACAGGGCTCCTTGGGGTGTCCCAGGCCAGCTCTGGGCACTCTTTGGGTGCTCCAGGGCAGGGAGAGGTGGAGCCAGAGGGACAGTGCAAAAGTGCAACACAACCTGCAACACCTGCAGCCCCCCCCTCTGGGCTTCTCACCCCTCCTGAGCCGAGCAGCAGATGATCACCAGTTTAATCCCCAGTTTAACCCCCCTGTGGTGAATTCAGCACCATGTTTGCAGCAAAAATAGCTCTGCCTGGGTTGCAGGAGCAGCTGGATCCATCCTTTGGCTCCAGAGCTCCAGCCAGCCCTGCAGGAATGGCTTTTAGGTGGGACTGGGGGGATTGCCAGCAGCTCCTGGACATAGGTGGGATCTCTGCAGGCTGAGAAACACAGAATCCCACCAGGTTTTGTTTGGAAGGGACCTTAAAACCCATCCCATCCCATGGGCAGAGACACCTTCCACCAGCCCAGGGAGCTCAGAGCCACATCCAGCCTGGCCTTGGACAATTCCAGCAAAAATACCCCCATTCCCTCTAAACCACATCATGGAGTGCCACAGCCAATTGTTGTTTTAGCACTTCCAAGGATGGTGGCTTGGAGAAAACCCACTTGGCTCTTTCCAATGTGGTCCCAAATTTCCCTCTGTTTGAGCTTTGTGCCCCCCCAGGGGTTCTGTGTGCACACAACGACTTTATTCCAGAGCATGGAATCCTGGAATGGTTTGGGTGGGAAGGGACCTTAAAAATCACCTCATTCCACCCCCTACCATGGGCAGGGACACCTTCCAGAGCCCAGGCTGCTCAGAGCCACATCCAACCTGGCCTTGGGCACTTCCAGGGCTGGGGCAGCCACAGCTTCTCTGGGAAATCCATTCCAGGGCCTCCCCACCCTCCCAGGGTAGAATTAAGAATAATTGCTGTGCTGTTCCAATTACAGCAACGTGGCAAAAAATTAATGTTTTACACACAGGAGGTGCATAACTCTTCATTTGCTTGGGTGGCATTTTTCCAAAGCAGAGCCATAATCCTGTATTATAATTCCTGTTTGTATCTGCACCCCAGACATTCCCCTCTCCCTGAGCTGCCAGGCAGAGCTGAGAGGAGGAAGCTGCTTATTCCCAAATTCCTGAAGAAGTCCAGGCTTTGCAAGCAGCTGTCAGGTTGCTGATGCTTTTATGGGTTGGAAAAGGGGGGGGAGGTGGGAGAGAGGGAGGGAAGAGGTTGTGCTTTTAATAATGAAGCTCGTGCGAGTCAAAAATCAGCATCAGAAGAGGCAGAGAAAAATTAATTTTGTGTTTATAACCTATTCTTACATAGTCAACATTTCACACAGTGGTAAATGCATTTTGCAAGGTGTGTTCAGCCACTGATGGCAAAACTCTGGCAGGAAGGGAGTGGAAAATACCCAGATTTCACTCCTTTTTTAAAATTTTTGGTTTTTTTTCTGATAAAGAAAAATATGTGTGTTTGGGGTGTTCTATTTTGATCAAACTGCAAGGGGGTGTGAGCTCCCAGAGGGCCCAGTCCCTTCCCTTCCCAAACCAAACCAAACCAAACCAAACCTTCCCAAACCTTACCTTCCCAAACCTTCCCAAACCTTCCCTTCCCAAACCTTCCCTTTCTCTTTTCCTTTCCCTTCCCTTTTCCTTTCCCTTCCCAAACCTTCCCAAAACCTTCCCTTCCCAAACCTTCCCTTACCTTCCCTTTTCCTTTTTCCCCTTTCCTTCCTTCCCTCCTTCCTTCCTTCCTCTTCCTCTCATTCTCTTTCTTTTCTTTCCTTTCCTTTCTTTTCTTCCTTTCTTTCTTTTTTTGGAGCTCTCAGACCAAAGGCAAAAGTGCCTCCAGGCATTCCATGACCCAAAGATGCTCCAGGAAGACTCAGAAAACCCGAGGCTGCTGTGACAGGACAAGAGGGAATGATTTTGAACCAAAGAGGAGAGATTTAGATCAGATAAAGGAAGGGGGGGTTGGAACACTGCAACAAGTTGCTGCCCCGTCCCTGGAAGTGTCCAAGACCAGGTTGGATGGGTTTTGGAGCAACCTGGGCTAGTGGAAGGTGCCCCTGCCCATGGCAGGGGGTGGCACTGGGTGGGCTTTAAGGTCCCTCGAACCCAAATCATTCCATGGTCCATGAAGGCATTAAATCCCCCAGCCCAGGCAGCAGAGCTTGTCCTGCAGGTAATGGAAAGGTGGTTTCAGCCCTATAAATTGAGCTGATGGATGCAAATCCTCTTGGGAAACGGGCTGAGACCCCCAAAAGTCAAAGGTGACAACGAAAACAGGAACATCCAATCTCCAGGGCCCAGCCCTACGTGCCCAGCAAGGCCCTGGCTCCTGCTTTCCACTCATTATTCCAAAGTTTGCCCATCTCTGGGACAACTGGCTGCTGGGCAGACCATGAGCAAAACCAGGAAGGGAGACCTGGATCCCAGAGGGAAATCAGAGCTGCCTGCAAGGTGGACTCTCCTCCTGCTGGAGAGGGACTTTGGACAAGGGCAGAGTGACAGGACAGGGGGGTTGGGATTAAACTAAAGACAAAAGGTTTTGATGGGACATTCTGAGAAAATCCTTCCCTGGGAGGGTGGGGAGGCCCTGGAATGGATTTCCCAGAGAAGCTGTGGCAGCCCCTGGATCCCTGGAAGTGTCCAAGGCCAGGTTGGAGCAACCTGGGCTGGTGGGAGGTGTCCCTGCCCATGGCAGGGGTGGAATGAGATGCTCTTCAAGGTCCCCTTCCAACCCAACCCATTCCATGATTCCATGCAGGTAGGAAATCACCCAGCCCAGGCAGCAGAGCTCGACCTGCAGCCAGTTCAGGATCTGATTCCCAGCGATCCCAGGGATGGGGATGGGATCCTACACCCTCTGGACTCAGTTTGGAAGCAGCACCAGCAGGACTCCCATCCCCCCGTGCCCTCAGGAGCTGCCTCCCCACTGTCCCTGCTCCTGCCAGACCCTCCTGCTCCTGGAAAGAGGGAATTAAATTCCACTGTGTGGCCGTAACTAATGGACTGTGTTGCCCCCCTTTAGCCCTCAGTTTCCACATAATTAGCTGATTTTGAATTATTTACGCTGTGAATTTTCCAATAAATAATGTAATAAAAGCATCTCAATTATTTACCCTGTTACAAAGCTGCCTCGATGGCCAGGCAAATATTCCCATGAATCATTGATTTTATGAATTTTGCAATATTAAGGGAGAAAAAAAATTATAAATGATCCACTTTCTAAGGCTCTAAATTATTCTTTCATTTCTTCAGCCTTGCATTCTGCTTTGGGGAATCCTCCCTGGGCTTCTGTCTTCTAAGAAATTCTGTAATACATTTGGAAAACTGTGATTATTTTTAGCATGAAAGTTGCTCTGTAGAGCTTGATAACCACATTTCAGTGGAATAAATGGGAGTTCAGGTCAGGAGTGAACAGCAAATGGTTACTTTATCTCACCAGGGGACTCCAGGAGATCACATTCTGCCGGGTTGGGAACTGTAAAATGTGAATATTGTTTGCTTAGAGCATGGCAAGGTGTGTTTCCCCTGCAGGCTTTCAGGTGGGAATGGGAGATTTAAGGTAAAATGGGAGTGTTTTGTTGATGGCATTGGATTACCACGAATAAAACAGGCAGAGAGAAAGCTGGGGATCCACATTTGAGGTCCAGATGTGCCTCCAGCAGGAAGAGGCTTGAAATTCCAAATATTTGCAGGCTCAGGGAGCATCTCTGAAGCCATGGAGAGGAGGGAAAAGCAGAGGAGATGCTTCTCCACCCCTTGCACAGACCTAAAACAGGGACAAGAACACCTTGGAGGACGTGGGAAGGGTTTCCCCACAACCTTCCCTGCCTTCTCCTGGTGGGAACAACAGGAATGAAGCTCCTGCCTGGGAGTGAATCCTGGTGGGCCCCTGGGGAGGATAAACCTGGGAGCAGAGGGTTCCTGTGCTGGGGTGGCTTGGGCTGGAGAGCAGAGATTCTGGAGTCACAGAACCATGGAATCCTGGAAGAGTTAAGGTTGGCAAAGCCCTGTGAGCTCACAGAGTCCAACTGCTGCCCCAGCAGTGCCAAGCCCAGCTCCAACCCACCTCCCTGGGAGCTGCTCAGGGAAAATCCTGACCTTCCTGGGCCCTTTCAGGCTGCTGGGATGGTGACACAGGCAAATCCTGGGCAGGAGAAGGGAGAAATGACAGATAATAAATGATATAACAGATTAAAGGAAGCGACTGAAGGATGTCAGGGGCTCACTGATGTCTGTCTGTCTGTCTGTCTGAACTGGAACAAGTTCCAGGGGGCAAATCCTGGCTGCTGCCCTTCCCTGGCTCCCATCTCCCCCGGGCTCTGGCTGTGCACACTGAGGGAAGCTGTGTGTGTGTGGCACTGTCTGGCTCCAGTGCCAGCAATGTCCCCTGGCAAGGAAGGTGCCCAGCTTTGTTCTGCTCAGGGATATCTGGGAGACACTCGGAGGAGAGGGATGTGAATGGCCTGAAAACCAACTGGCAGCTGAGTGAGACGGAGCCTCAAAGGAGCTTTTGAGGGAGCTGCTGCATTCCAACCTCCCCTCCAGGGCTCTGGCACAAAGGGGCTTTTCTCTGTGCTTTCCTCTGCTTTCCTCTCACTCTCCTGGTGCTCGTGGGGCTGAGTCTGTGCAGGGCTGGCCCTGGGCACAGGGTGGGCTCTCCTGGGTCCTTGTTCTGCCCTTTACCCAAGCAGACCTTGTGACTGTGCCCACAGAGAATCCAGACTGGTTTGGGT